CTCTTGTTTTGACCTTTTCCATGGAAATTGTCTTCAAATCTCATACATTATAATGGCTCATTTTCTGTGCTTTCATCTTGAGTTATCTCCATAGATTTTAAATTGGATACAAGTCAGTTGATTCTACCAGTTTTGTCTTCTGTTGCTGAAACCACTGAAGAGTTTCCCAGCCTGTGTGTCTGGGTTTTTTTTTTTGTCTTGCTTGGGAGAACATTTTATCTCCAGATTATTGTCAGTGATGCCTGATTTCGTTCCTTCAGTTGCACAGAGTCCTGCAGCACCACATGCTGTAAAACAGCCCACGCTGATGTTCCCATCTGCACTCAGCCTTTGGCAGGATGGTTCTGATGTGATGTACAAAAAAATGATGTGTCCCAAAGAGTTCAGCTTTATAAAACTCTATAGCAGTTTAGTAACGATAAACCTTTCATAGTGGCAGAGTTCCACTTTATTAAAGTAATTAATGGCTAATTTGTTTTGACTTCTTTGTACCTGGGTTTTTGTTTTTTTTTCTCCAACATCTGGTGCTGCTTAACGTAAACATATCTACTGTAAAAAATGTTCACATATTTACTTAAGCATCAACTTGTGCCTAAATATCAAATTTTCTTAAATATTAATGTAGAAAAAATAGTCCTAATTAGATCGATTAGCTGTGTTTTTTTCATGTAAACACAATTGATAAAGCTAAAAGTTATGTCCAAATTCATAAATATTGGAATGGAAGAAAATTCCTAAAATGAACATACAGAGTGAAATTTGATGCATCTCCTGTATCCTCTCATCAGTATTCACGGTGAAGCTTGTGTCATGAAATGCACTCGACACAATTTGCTATGCTCTAATTAACCAGAGACGAGAAAAACAGATAAAATCATTGCACTGAATATTGTCGCCATGATAAGTAAATATTCCTCAAAGTTTATTTATCTGACGCTGACCATCCGCTCAGATGTTGTGTCATGTAACTGATTTAGCTTTTTTTTGCAGCTTTGAGGAAGCAAAATGAAAAAAAAGATCTTGAATTAAACTCATTCATTAGGTTGACAGGATCCATAATGAATGCTGAACTGACGATATGCTTAAAAAATTGCTGAAGGATAAGAAAAACAAACTCTGCAGCTTTCTTTAGAGAACACACTGAGGTTCAAGAGAGTCTGTGCTGTACTTAGCAAAGAGCTTTATATTGAGAATGAAGGTTATTGTTGCTCTGTGCCCTCATGTTATCACTCACAGCCATCACAATATCAACTAAATCTTTGACAGTTGCGATGCAGGATGTTTGCAGACTGACTTCTTCCTGTCTCATCATTACCTGTGATTGGCAGCTATGTTATTAGCATTATGATAAGTGTGTCAGTCTGTGACTCAGACACACACTTGGCTGCATTTCATCTGATAGGATGAATATTATTACAGCGTTTGCTGGCAGAGTTGAGACATACGTCTACATCAGGATGTTCTTCCCGTCATTCAGGACTCAACTTGAGCGCTGACATCTTACTATTTGACAAAATCATAATAATAATAATAATAATACATTTTATTTGTGAGTGTCTTGACTTTCTGTAGGTCACCTCATAGCTCGAAAAAGCATCAAGGAAAAAGGGATTTTCAAGGATGTTTCAATTACTTTTTAAAGTAAGGTAAGGTAAAGTAACAGTTTAAGAAGATTTGATTTTAGCTTTGTAAAATTGTGCATTATCCTGCTGGAGTTAAGCACCAGAAGAAGGGCTAAAGGAAGAGCTAAAGTGTACAGATAAGACACATTACTGCACTTGAGTCACACATTTATTTTTACCTGAAGAGGGTCAGCGGACGCTGCGCCGAGGGGCGACCGGCTGTGGGCAGACGCTGCCATGTTGGACTGCGATGGCTGAACTTAGTTCAGGAGTAGTTTATGAGGTGAGTCAAACACTTTTAATATTATTCGCCATTCACACAAAAAGTCCTAAAATTAAGTCAGTGAAAAGTTTAACGAACAGCTTCCTTCACAAACCTTGATTTAGAATCAAAACGTCTGTGCAGACATCGTGTGACGGAGATAGAATCTGGAATATTTACACAGATCGATTGTTTTTCTTTTGGTTTTGTTGTATTTCATTTTAAAGTCTTCCTTTGAAAGCATAAAACTTGAAGAACATTTAAGCGGAAGTCACAGATTGAAAGAATAAGGTTTGCTTCATGCAAATATAAAGCAGTTGTGATCATGTTAAGAACTGATCAGTTTTGCTTTTCTTGTGAAATAAGGGAGAGTAACAGATGTGCAGCATCAGCAGAACAGTTTTAAGGCAAATAAGGCAGGAATGAAGTTTGGCGCTCACTGAAAGTGAACAACATGCCACATACAGGACATTAGACTAAACCACTTCTCTGCGTCTTTATTCTTATCCTTTGGAACTGTGTGCATTCATTTTCATTAATGGCAGACAAATCGTGTTTGTGAGGGATTTAATCTAATTGCATGTTCTGTTGAGGTCTGTGGTTTGTTATACAGCCGTGCCCTCCATCACTCAGAGAAATCTTTAGATTGAATTAGTTAATTGATTTAATTATTTTTGATTTAATCAATGACATAACTACAAAGAAACTGCCACAGTTTCTCAGCTTGCTAGGACCAATTTTCAGCATCCAAGTGACTCTGTTCAAACCAATCCATCTGAAGAATGGTCTGAATTATTCACCATATGACCGACACGGCTCCAGCATTTTGATTCATGAAGGTTTGAACTCGAGGGAGTAAGGGAGTGTCTTCCAACTTTTTCAAAATGTGCTCCACCATTTTATGAGATAATCAGATGCCAATGAAAGTTGGTATATGGCTACATAATAAATAAAATCGGTCATATTTGCCCAAATAGATGAAATGAGAACCCCAGCCAACAGAACAAGGCGTTATGCCACTTGCAGAACAGAATTAGTCAGAATTAGTCTCCTCTTAGCAAAATGTAACTAGTCGTTATGAATGCAGGAAGAGGGAGTGTGAATTGATGAACTAGATTTTTCATTTTGCAGCAGCATAAATACTTATTTATTTTCTATAAGAAGTAACAACAATTGGGCTACGCAGCGTGACTGATGACGAAAAAGATGGGACTAAAAGTAGCTCCTCTGAAACTGAATCTCCACTTTCTCCTAGGCTTGGTGTTTGCATGGTAGCGCAGCTCAGACCTAAAGGAGGTCAGAAAAGTAGTAGTTTACCTTTCCCATGAGACCTTGCATCTAAAGCGAGGAAAATATTTGTCAGATGGTTTTTAACTTATAGTAGATGGTGTTCGATAGCCATTGCAGTAGTTGTGTTCAGAATACTTCAGGCGAACCAGCAGCAAAATGAAATGGAAGCCAAGTTATGTACATTCACTCAATGCAAAACGTATTAAAACAGAAAGTGAGACTTTGCATCAGGGAGAAATATTACAGCAATAGAAAAAATAGTGAGCAGTTATTAAAAACAGCAGGTGTTTTTAATAACTTGTGCATTCAAAGAATTGGGTAATCTGAGTAGGATGAATAAAAAGATTTACAAAATGTATATTTGTGCAGAAATGAACAAACTGACTTTTCAGTGATGTTGGTGATTAATAGCCAACAGAATTGATGTGCTGCCAGTGTTTATAGCATGCCAAGGCAGTGAAGCGCCTCACACTCTCTGCTGCAGTCGCATTCACTAGCCTACATCCACCAGAGTTTACAGTGGCGCATTAACTGCGTGTTGCCTTGCAGCCTCTCCCTGAAGAGTGATCTTCCTGTGCATCTGGGCGTTGCTGTAGATTTGCTACCATGACATCGATTTTCTGCTGCTGTGCCATTTTACTTACCTATTACAGTATGTGCCCACATTGTTTCACTTCTGTTTTATCTCTGTTTTGAGCTTCCTGATTTAATCAGCTCTTTGAAGTCTACAAAGTGCTGATTGTCTGGGGCCATTTTCTGAATTTAGCCTGTGGTCAGGTTGTGCCTGAGCTGACCTTCACAAAGTGCCCACACAGCATATTTCTTCTTATTTTTGCCTTAAAGTAAAACTCCCCTGGCTCAGCCAAAGGAGTGGAAGATTGGGCTTCTTACTGTCAAGCTTAAAGAATGTTGATGGTTTTACTCTATTATTCATTACCCCAGAGTTGAACCAACATGCTGCAGCATGCTAATGTCTTAATCGCTTTGCTAGTGAGCACACAGACTGTGTGACATCTGTGAAAAAAGTGGCTTTGACAGACAGGTGAGGGACAGGTAGAAGGAGATATGAAGCTGCTGAAAGGAAAAGTAATTTGACAGACAAAGGTCACCGCAGCTGATCGGTGAATATGGTGTGTTAATGTCAAAGTTCTCAAACCGTGGAGATTAAAATGTTCAGTTTGTTTAGATCATCACAGAGCTCCAGATTTTAGTAAAATATGTTTGGAAATTATTTTTAAGTAGATTATACAGCCATAGCAGTACAACATCAGCATTTGATGGCATTTATTCCTGTATGCTTTCTTTCAATTAGTTTTTATGAATGTAGATGTAAACATTGTGTGGTCTTTACTAGGATCTACATTTAACTTCTAGAGACCCAAAACATTTGATTGAAGAAAAACCCTAAAATTATAACGCTGTCAATGAAAATCTAAGTACATAAGTGCATGGAAGGAGTGAAAGTGGCATCCAGGTACTACTAAAAATGTTTTGTATAAAGGATCAGCGTGAGCTGTGCTATAAAAGCAGGATTTGAGAAGGTTTGTTTTATATGTATTTTTTTGTTCAAGGTCATTGCAGACCCAATAAAACGACCTTGCAGAATCAGTTATGGCAGTCTGCAGAATATTTGGGTACAGCTGTTGCTTTGGCTGTGCACAAACCCAACATCATACCAACAACCGCACAGTTTGGATCACAGTTCTAATATTTTTCCAGCTTCAAAAAACTTTTCCCAGATACTCCAAAGTACGTACTGGGATTGCTCAAATAACTCAAACGGCAAGAGAAAGAAAGCCTCTCTTCTACCACAAAGTTTCCAAATTTCTCTTGGACAGACAGCACCAAAGTTCGAATGTTTGGACATAATCTTCTGTCAAACCATCTGTGACCATGAGTTCCATAGAATCCACAGTTACGCCACAAAACCCAGACAGAACGTTATATGTCATGATTGTTGCTGAAGGTGATTCTGGAATGAATTGATTAGGAACTTAGCAGGTTAATCAGCCACTTAAATAAGATCTAATGGAGCCTGCAGGCATGTAAAACATGCAGGACAACAGGGTTTCATTACTGGAGTTAGATATGACTGTTCTAGACAATACTGCAAAAAAGAAGAATTTTCTTTTTAACCCTCATTTTTGGTGGTAAGGATGACATGATATCTGCTGTATGCTTTATGCAGGTCAAATTTAAATTATTTTAGACCACGTCTTATCTTACCATTCCAGGAATTTATGCACAAAACCCTAGAATGCTAAGACTTGTTTTATTTTTGTTTTACCTTTAATTTACCAGCAATGGTGCGCAGAAAAACTGCATTTCTGCAATTTAAAGGAATGAACTGAATGCTGTCATCTAAAAGTTTATGCTTACATTAATTAGAAAAGCTTATTAAAGAAGCAATGAATGGAAAATACACAACATGCAGCACTGAATAAAGTGTTTATACGTAAAACAGGATGTGCTTCTCTCTCTTTTTTTTTTGTCCTTTAGAGACATTCCAGCCCAGGAAAGATGACTTATATCAATGCTTGAAGTTTTCTGTAACTCCAGAGAGGTGAAGTTTTCTTTGCTCATTCTCACCCCTACAGACCTGAAGCCCCCCAGCTGACTTTCAAGAAAAAATAAGATAAAACTAGAGATATGAAAACATATACATTCAAGTACTCTTCTGCTGGGATTTTGTTGAAAAATTCATAACCCGTTCAAGAAAAGCACATTGGTCTGCACCCTGTTCACTTGGAAAATACTTCACTTTGTTTTGCTGACAATTCAGCTGAGCTGGCCTTGGACGAAGCAGCAAAAAAATTGCTCAAGCACATCAACAACTACAGCAGAATTTCAGCTGACTCTGGTTTAGTGTCTTTCTGTGGTGAAAATCTATTTTTGAGGCCTTTAATGGATTCCTGCAATGACGTCTATTGATACACAGGGATGGATGAGTCGCTGTCGCTGCAGAAGAAAAGGAGGACAAAGACTTGAACTGATAATGTGAGTGGTCGACTGATTGTTTTAATCCCGGAGCTGACATGCTGCTTTAATTACTGCCACAGTGACTAAAACACAAAACTGGACTAAAACTTTAGTATTATTTAGGTATTGAATGAAGCACCATAACGGCAACACTGGACGCCTTCGTCCTTTCAGAATATTTCAAGAAGAGTATGACTTTTGCAGTTTTTAATCTTTTCTTTGTTCAGATAAAGTCAGCTGTCTGCCATGGGACATTTTGTACCTAATATGTAAATTTCCACTTATTTTGGTGACATTTTGTTACACATTTGATCATTTTCTCTAAGATCTAATCATCCTTTCAGTGTAGGGAATTTGCTAGGTTCTTCTGTGAATGTCATCTATTAGGTCTCGGTCACTCACATTTAACTTGGTTTGATAAGGAGCCAGAATTATCCACGATTAATATGAGCTGAACAACCCAGACAAAGACCACAACCAGAACCAGTGACAGCATCTGATTCACAGCTTGTTATTTGGTCGAGTCTGTGCAAGTTTAAATTAGAGATTCAAAATGAATTATTCTGCAACGCTATCTACTGAGAAATTCATTAAACAAAACCTGGGATTTGTAAAATCTTTGTTATCCTTCTTAGATGGCATAAATACAACATAAGATTGAAACAATCATAAAAAGCATCAAGATAAAATTTAGACCAAACTATTTTAGAGTAATAATGGAATATTCTAAACTGTTTAATTCATCTGAGTGTTCAAATTAATTAAATTACTATCAGGCTGATTTATTATTGCTTTCATTGTTTTAGATAAATGACATGAAAAATAAGTCCTTCACCCAGCTAACTATTCCTGCTTGTGTCTTGTCAAGCATTACTATTTTCAGATTCAATAGACTTTCCAAAATGGATCAAACTATAAATTCTGGTCTCTATCAGCAAATCAATAGCCAGGTTTTAATTTGACTGAGATTCTTTAGCATGACCTTGAAGAGACGTTTCCTTCTATAAAATCCTTTAAGATGGCTGAATTGGAACAATTCTAACCAATAATCCTCCACAGCAATCTAGAAGTTTCATCGCCATCACTTGATGACAGCTGTTGCCGCCAAGGGTGGCTCAATTAATTATTAGGTTGAGAAAGCAATTAGATGCTATGGAGATGTGCACCTGTGCAAAACAATGAGAGGGCAATGTTACTCACAAACCACCTCTGGATATCTCCAAACAGGTATACCCATCAATGCTCATTCATGCAAAACGCTGGCAGCAGATGAACACAGACAGACAGACTCTGAGGTGAGCTCCTGCCGAATGCTGCTTATTCATGCGCTCTGAAGACAAACAGGTTTCCCCTGAGGTACAGCACACACTTATCAATTTATGATTCTAAGCTCATCTGCTGCCATTAGGTTCACACCTGATCTTTTTCCTGTTTCCTGCCAGAAGCTGTAATGAATGAAGCATGAACACAATAGTTTATAAAAAAAAATTGACAGGGACATTCAAAGCTCCTCCTCACAAGAATGCTTGATTTTATTTGATTTTATACTTCAGAGTACATAACTCAAAGAAAATAAATAAAAAGAAAAACAATTAAAAGCAAAGTAGTCTGAATTGCTACCAACAGTTTTGTATGATCCAGCGCAAATATATTTAGAAAACTGATAAAAGCAACATCATTTTCAAAGTAAGCGATGTCCTAGTTAAAGGTCTGTCTCTGGTTGTGTAGTGAGAGCAACTGTCAGGGTTCGAGTTGCTCCGCGCAGCGCTGGGATGTAGCCCTGATGATAGCCTGCCAAATGCACAGGAAATAAAAGGAGCAGTAGGTTATTTTCACAGTAACAGTTCTGTTAAATTTACAGCCTTAAGTGTAAATTGATCCCCCATGTCAGTAACTTTCACCATCTATCTAAACCTGAAGACTTAATTACTTGTAATTTTGCCAATTTGCCATTGATGCTGTCAGTTTAATAGTCAAGCTGTGAATGAGTCTTAAAGTCTCTGTCTGGTCCAGATACACAATGTGTCTTAATCACAGCGAGGCCTTTTTCATCACAGCTCATAGGAAACAACCCCTGGTAAAAAATAAAAAAAAAAACAAAAAAACAAAAACCCACAGACTCACCCTTGGAAGTTGTTTCATTTTACTGCAAAATAAGATGAGAAATCAGCCATGATGCAATTCCTTTGCTACATACGACCACTCTGATTTGGAGTAGTTTTTCTTTAAAACTACTTTTTGAATTTCTTGTCATTGTATTTTAGGAAAAATACGCTTATATTCAATGTTTTGGGCACAATGTTGATTTTGTTTGTAATCAAAATGAACTTGAATCAGCTTTGTTGACTCGTGACCTTTTGTGTTATCTCTACACAACAGAGTGTGTCTCACTACAGCTGTAGTTATGACTGAACTGCAAGGAAATAAAATCACACAGAAGTGCAGCTTGAGCCTCAAAAACCACAAATGCATGAGTCGTATTATTACATCCTCCCAGCGAACGACAACAAAGACCCAAAAGCACTAAACACATAAGCAATAATATGGATTTCATTTTGTGGTATTGACATAACCAGGGGAAGAATTAACACACAATCACACACAGTCATACACGCTCACTAATTTTCCCTCTCCTCCACAACCCATACTTCTCGACATGCAATTAGATAAGCGAGTGCTCAACGAGCCACTCGACGCCAACGCTTCCATTTCAGAGCCGCTTTTGTAACTCTGAAGCTAAACTCTACAAGCCCTCTTTGACCAAAATCAGTGAAATGCATCCCCCCTACAAAACCCCCCAACCTTCTGCAACGCAGACTCACGTCCTGCAGTCCCACGTCCTGCAGTCCCACGCCAAACGCCAACTTCCCCCTCCGTTATTCAAGATCATGTGCTTTAATTCATCAGAATGAAAGTGATTATTTTAACTCTGCTATCTGGGACAGAAACTGACGAATCATTGTGAAACTGTCAGTACAAACGTCTCCCTGCTGTAAAGTCATAATAAAATGTAAGTGTGACTTCTTTTAGTTAACATATGATTACAAAATTATTTAATTCTTCTGAAATAAGGAAGTTTTGTAAATATCTAACAAAAACATGGATGAATGATAGCATTTGATGCTATTCCCAATGTACAGTACATTAAACCTTAAGTTATTTTGTTATGCAAAAAGCTCATAATGAAACTTTTGACTATAAATATATTGAAAAACCCAAATCATCAGCCTTCTTCCACCGTGTTTTGCAGTTCTTCTAAACTTGTGTGCTGATCTATTTTGTCAATTTACTGTTGAATACAGACCACTAGTGGTGAAAAAAGAGAAATGCTTTAGATTTATTTCAAATGTAATGGACACAGGAGAAAAGAAAGGGAGGAAGAGGAGCCTTTTCCTGTCCAATTACTGTATAATGAAGGCCACTACAGCCTCATAAAGACAGTGAGAAAGGTGTGGAAAAGATTTAAAGGGAAAGAAGGAAACAATGGTGGAGGTGGAGAAAGAAGCACAGAGAGATCACAAGTCAACACCATTCAAGTCTGCGTCTAGACCTGCAGAAAGAGAGAAAAACCAAAACCAGCAACCAACAGCAGTAATTATAACTTCACTGAAAAGTACAATTTAATATAAGATGTATTTAGTGGCAACTGCATCAAATGAGTGTCTTTGAAAAACATCTGAATCGAAACAGTTTCCATAAACTTCAACTCTCTGCTATCAATTGGACTCACATCCACCTTTGATGGGTTTCTGCTTGTGGTTCTTTACATGTTATTGACATAAAAAAACAAAACTTTATGTTTTTCAAAACGAGGTACTTAATTTTCCTGCCGTTTCCTGTGAGCACATTTCACTTAGCAGATTACAAACAGAATGACCTTGGAACATCAAACACCAAAAACAAAAAAAAAAAACATCAAGGTTTTCTGTAAGCTTCTGCTTTATTCTGTTGTTAACATTGACATTCAATTTTACACCTCTTACAGGATGTGCATCATTGCTCTTTCCTCTCCGTTTAGCCTGCAGGATCTCTCAGCAGACTGTGATCTCTGCAGCAAAGGTAGAAAAAACATAACCGCTGCCTGCAACATTAACCTCTGATGCTGTGGGGCTAAATTTCTTAGCTGGCTGGACAGCTTTTCATTTTTTAACTTTCCCAAACAGGTCTGACAAGCACGCAACCGTCAGGCAGCACTGGTTTAAAAATATGCAACGCTTTAAAGGCATTTTAGGACAAAACTGCCAGCAACTTTCACAAATCTCTATGTTTGTGCTGATATGATTCATCTTCTCTCTCTGCTCTATCATGGCAGGTTTTGTTTTTTTCACTCTAACTGTGACCTTTCATACCAGCTATAAATGGCTTTGGCTTCAGGCATGTTTTGATGACACTTCATACAAATTATGCTGTTTTTTTAGGCTTGTTGAACTCCAAAATGGACTGTAGGTGTAGCTCCTATAGGAGAATGACTTTAATGGATATTGTTCATCAAACAAGAATGACTCCATGGTTAGACTCTGCAGATTTCAAATATGTTCTTTATATAATTTTGCAGCTACAATAATTTGTATCCAGTAGGTCTTACAATGTAAATTTATTTTCCAGAACAACGAGAAGAATGTCAAATAAAAACACCTGAGTGTTTGAAAGACATTTAAAAAGTTAATACAGATTTTACTCACTGTCAAAGGGTCACGCTTTATCATATTATGTAATAATCTTTAGAAATAATTAAGTGTAATTTTAAATTCAGCATAAATCTGAAAAAAATGCCTTACATTTTATTATTATGGTAAAAAATGCAATTTAAGTCTAGCTGAATTTTCATCCTATTTATCTACAGAATTAATAAGCTCTAGTTTTATACTGTTTACTGTCAAAGCAGCGATTTATTGAATCAATTTGGTTCCATTCAGCTCAACTCAAAAATAATGTTGAGGAACATTATAAGACAAACACGTCCAGCAAATGAAACACAATTCAAACTTATGTCAAATCCGTCTGTTTCATACCATTATTATTCCATCACAGTAAAATTAAGAAGCAATACCATTAAATTGAATTCAGTGCGAATGCTGCAGTCAAATTCAGCTTCTCCCATGGTGTTCTATGGATTGGGTGGAAAAGAAGCCGACCCAGAAAAATACTGGAGAATCAATATTTGTTGTGGGAAAGAAAAATAAGTAGTTAAGTATCCAGTTAATGTTTTGTCTACGACAGAGACAGAGCTGAACACATAATCATTGAGCCAGAGGTATTTTCTGAGTGAGTGTGTAAAGTCATCATGTCCAGAAAAGTGATAATGTTAAATACAAAACCACTGAACCAGGGGAAAGAATAAAATACAGAACCGGAAAGAGACACAGACAAACACCGGACTGAGCTGACTGATTCAGAGAAAAATAAAACAATGATTGGCAGCAATATTTGTGACAAAGAGAAAAGAGATACAATTAAATACAGAATCGCTGAGTCTGGAGGTGACGACAGAAATCTCGCCATTCATGGTATCCTCCAAGAAAGTGATGTAGATGAACAACTGAGTTAAGATTTATTTCTTTAGGAAAGAAAAACTGAGTAATTGAGAGCAATATCTCCATGAAAGGCTTAATCAAAGAAAAAGAGACAGTTAACACATTTAGCAAACTTCCTGAAAGTGAATAATAAAAAGTAGAAGAAGTTATTTTAAGACCGAGAACAGAGAGAGATAACCTCAAGAGCCGCGCAAAGAAAAGTGGCCATCACTCCTCCACCTCCAACTGCAAGCTTTATCAAAACAGGACTGGGTTTATTGTAATTCCTAAAGATTCAACTGGTGCAAAAGGAAAACGCTCACTTTAGAGTTTACTATTTTCACAAAGGAAGTGTTATTTTCTGGTCTGTGATGGCTTTACTCCTCTAACGCTCCACCAAAATCTCAACCGAATCTTCCCAGATATTTACCTCCATCAGCAGCAAGACCTGCTGCAAGGCACAAATATGTTAACGACGTCTTACACTTGTGGTTTCGATTGTCTCAGTCACAGCTGAATGTGTGGAAGGGCACCTTGAGGGTCGATGGAGGGCTGCTGCCCTTCCAGAGGCTGACAGAGTCATTTGTCAAACGAGGAAGGCCATGAATGTACTTCACCCGCTGTCTTCACTGCATGTTTAACCCTCTGCGCCACACACACACCCACACACACACACACCCACACACACACACACACACACGCCACCTGCCCCTGCACGCGAGGGGATCCGGATCTGATGGAATTAGAGTGGGATAGGGAGAGAGTTTATTTAATTAAAAAGAGACAGGAAGAGGACTCCGTGACATCATTTCAATGTCGCCTCTCACTCCCCCTACACCCGAAAATGTTAGTTGTCAAGAGCTCCATCTGGAAAACACAAGACGCTCTCGCTTTCACGTCCACACCCGGACCCACACAGACACCCGGGTTTCCACGCTGAGTCAGCGGTTCCGATGAAAAAAGAAGACAAAAAGGAGACGAAAAGC